AAATATTTCTTTTATCAACAAAATATTCTACCTAATTAATCTCTTTGTTTGTTTCCCCTGTGTGTGTGAGAGAGAGAGAGAGAGAGAGTGTGTGTGTGTGTGTGTGTGTGTGTGTGTGTGTTTATGTGATTTTGCAGCTAACTTTACACAGAGCTGACAAGGGCAATTATTATTAAAAACTTAGCAGAAGAAAGCTATGGTAATCAGGAGAGAGCTGCAATTCATTCACTAAGGCACTGTCATTGATGAAAGGAAACTGAGCCTACCTTTTTTCCCTTTTTTTCTTTTCTTTCTTCCTTTATTTTTTTTAACAAATAACAAAGCAATTACAACATGTAAAGTAATACGGAGAAAATAATAATTTACTGGAAAACTGAGAGAACAGCACAGTGCGGCAAATACAAAGGGAAACAACACATAGAAAAGCTAATTCACTACATCAAAACCTATTATGAACAGATGACATGCAAAATAAAAAAAAACCCACAATGAAAAACAAAACACCATAAACAGGAACCTGTTAATTGCAATGGAACTAAAGTAGAAGAACTGCTGGATTGGGAACTGGAGTATAGACAATTCTCTAGTGGATTCTCACCATCTCACTGATAACTGACCCATGCAATAATTAATTTGACTGTGGCCAAGCTGTCTTTACATTGACAGGTACTGCTTTGTTATGTTGAAGTGGCTTTTGAAGACAACACCAATGGATTAAGGAAATTTCAAGCCAACTGAGTACCGCTTCATAATTGCCATAAGAACACGAGAAAAACTGGTTGTGTGAATTCACTTCCTGGGAGACAGGTTAGGAATATGTATAGAGCATGACCTAGTATATACAGTAGAACAGCAGTTGTTTAGACAACTAAATTCTAGTTAGTGTTAGAGAAACTATTACATCCACTTGGCAGAACTGAAAATGAAGTCAATGGGTTTAAGTACCCTTAATTCTGTGTTGTGTTATCGCCTTGGCAATTTCTTTAAAATTGCCTCCATTAAACACAAACAATAGATATATTTGCTTGTTTGGCTTTTGGAAGTACAGGTTGCAAAGGAGCTTTGCCTGGCTAGCGCCCCTTTGTTTTCTCTATCTCTCTCTCTGGAAAAAAAATCTGCCTTCTTAACACCTGACGTTTTGACTGTGATTATAAAAATCGTGTTTGTCTAAAAAGCAGTCCTTTAGAATATAGAACCATTTCATGTAAGCTTTTAAGAAATCCAATAAATATAACATCAAGGAGTGTTCTTTTTCTCTCATGAGGTGGAGTGGGCAGGGGAGGGCACTACACGCTGTGTTATATTTACATCATTTGAAACTCTGTTTATCATAAAAACAGCCCATTCTCAATCCGTAGCTACAAAATAGAGGCTGATAAATAAGGCTGAAGCGTGGCAGTGACATCAATAAATATATTCTTAATAAAGTTTTGTGAGGGCTCTTGGGAAAAAGAATGGAAACAAGAACAATCTGTGGTTCATAACTAAGAGATGGTATATTTCAGTTGCAAGACAACATGATAGAAATAGATTCTGTTCACATATGCTTCGTATTCCAGCTCATTACAATGAAGAATAATTGATCTGTGCTATATAATTTAAGAACCAGCAAGATATTGTTGAACACTGCTTCCAGCAATCAGTAAAAGCTGTCCAGAATAGACCTAATTACTATATTTTATTTTAGAAACATGAGGAAAAAGTCCTTTGACTGCAGCATCTTACAAACGAGACTTGAATTTCAAACATGCAAAGAGTAACAATTCCAAATTTAATGTTAACTGTTCTGTACTACAGCTGCAAACATGTCAATTCCCCACCTGTACTTTGACCTCCACTTTCCAATGAAGTCTTCCTCAGCCTGCTGAGGAAAATGAGGGAAAACAGCCAAACAAACAAAAACAGAAATGGCCAGAAGTCCACTCTTGCTATTGATTTTTTTTTAATGTTAACTGTGTAGGGAAAAAGGGTCCTGTGAATTATTTGAAAAGATATTTGCCACTCCTAAAAGCTTCTGGGGATAGTTCATTCCCTTTTGGTCAGGAAAGGAGCAATATAGAAAGTCCAGCGGAAGCACAAAAACTTCTACATTTAGGCCACAATAACCAAATGCACGGGTATAGGATGGGGGATGCATGGCTTAGCCATATTATATGCAAAAAGGTCCTTGGAATGTTGTTGGTCATAACATCAGGCAGCGGTATGATGTTGAATGCAAAGAAGGTGAATGCTATTTTAGCTTCCATTAATAAAAGCACAGTTTTTAAATAAGGGGAAATAATAGTCCCACTATGTTATGTACTGGTATCACCTCATCTAAAGTAGTGCATTCAGTTCTGGGTGCCTTATTTTAAGTAGGATATAGACAACTAGGAGCAGGTTTGGAGAAGGGCAATAAAAATGTTAAAGTATATGGGAAACAAAACATATGAGGAAAGGTTGAAGGAGTTGGGCATGCTCAGCTTGGTAAAGAGAAGACTGAGGGCTGACATGATTGGTTTCTTCAAATACCTCAAAGACTGTCACAGAGAGGAGGGAAAAGGCCTGCTCTCAGCTGCCCCAGACAGTAGTACCAGGTATAATGGTTTGAAGTTGAAGAAGAGTAGATTTTGATGGACCATTAGAAGGAACTTCTTGAAAGTAAGAGTAGTTTGGCAATGGAAGCAACTGCCTAGAGAGGTGGTGGAGTCTCTGTCTCTTGATGTCTTGAAAAAGAGACTGTACAGCTACCTGCAGAGAATGTTCTAGCTGGAGATCCTGCCCTAAGCAAAGGGTGGGACCCAGGAAGCCTTTTCCAACTCTTACGATTCTATGCCTTTGGGGCCACTTGCAACCTCAATGTTCTAGGTGTGAATGATTTTAGTGTCTCCCTTGGCAATGTTAGACATTTGGAAACCAACAGAAAATCTCATTGGCCAAGCAGGATTCTTACTGGGGCAAGTCACATGCTCTCATTGGCAGTGTCAATGTTCCCATTTTGCTTCTTTTCCCATAGCTCTGTGGCCACTCTTGATTTATAGTGTGTTTAGGGATGATCCTAGGCAAAGTTACTGCTGCTGTTTTAGAGTATTTTTGATATCAGAATTATGATCTGAAGAGTAGCTATTATGTTTATGATTGTTTTATTATTTTGAATTATTAGCCACCCTGTATTCTAAGACTGGACAAGATTCAGTAACATTGATTAAAAGGAATACATACTGGGAATTTTGTTCCTATTGCATTGGACAGAACTGATGGCTGAGAATTTTGTTTATTGTTTTATAAGAACTTAACAGCTACAGAAAGAAACTGATCTTTAAAAAAAATAGGATAAAGCAAAACTGACAGCTTAGTCCACTCCTAGCCATGGCTATTCAGCATCATAGATTAGTCTGGGCTGCAGGCCAGCACTTGTAAATATCTTTAATATTTGAAAAGGGAATCAATATGCATATGCAAAACTGCAGAACTGAACATTATTGCCCACTGCTTACTAGCCACATGAATCTAATGAAAAATGGGAAATAAATTAAGGTGAAACATAGACTGAATATAAACACATACTTTTGATCTATGCCAGCTGAGCCTCTCCCCCCCCCCTTCCCTCTCTTGAGAAGAGGAAAGAAAGCTTTACTGCAGTTGCTAACCTTGTAGCCAGATTTTCTTCACTGCAGGAATATAAAGTAGTATATTTATTTATGGAGCTGAGAGGAATGGCTTTAATTAAAATAAAACATTTCACCCATCTTAGATCCAAATAGACTTTCTGATGAAAACATCACTTTGAATTTGATTTGGCTTACTGGAGCAAAACCATTAGAATGAATTGCTGCCATAGCTCTGGCCAGCATACTAGAACAATGACTTAAGCTGTCTTTCTTTCTTTGAGAGTATTTTGGACAATGAGAGAAAATGAGATTCCAAATTTGAGAGAGGAAAATAAAGTAATTTCCCAAGTGTGACACCCATCTACCCTCATCAAATTATACAGCCTGATACTATGCATGTTTACAGAGAAGTAGATCCCATGGTATTCAGTAGGACTTACTCCCCTACCCCCAAGAAAGTGAATATGGGTACATGGGACAAAATAATAGCAGGCTTTTGAATTTGCCTCCAAATCTCTACAGAGTTATAGAAGTCAGTTGAGACAGAGTTCGCTTCTAATTTAAGAGGGTCACAGCAATTAGAAAACAGACTAGGATGTTTCCTCAAAGAAAAAAAGAAGAAAAGTGATATTACAACCAAATGTAAATGTTTTCACTGATAATTCAACACACATAACCTTCATTACAATTGTGATCTGCATAATGCTGCATTATTTTATCCAAGGGATTTGAAGGATCTGTGAAATATAAGACTTTTTATTCCTTCAGCTTATTTAGACAAAATACCTTCACATTTGCACAGTTTCAAAATTGCCTGAGTAACAGAGCTGACACAGGGGATGGCCATATTGGCTGAGGGATATTGGTAGATGTAGTCCAAAAAGTAACTTTCCTAGGCTCTGCTTTAAACAATTTCATTTTCAGTGAATTGTCTTGCTTCAGTTTACTGCTGCATTCCATGTGTCAGTTCTGTAACTCTTCCTTCAGCTCAATGAGAAGATGGGGGGGGGGGGGGATGTGCAGATTTCACATAAGATTACATTTTTCCCTCCATGTCAGGAGTGATAAGCAAAGCCAAATACTCTGAACAGAGAAATGATCCTTCAAAATGGAGAGAAAATATTCTTGACATTTTAACAATAAGCAGTTATTAATATAATTCACTTTGCTTGAGCATGGTTATAATGCACTTTCAAGGCAATTTTGGATGAATTTTGTGTTTTGTTTTCCATTAAATACATATCTGTCATATCAAAGTAATACTAGGAGTAGCATACTCCCTGAATCTATGTTTTTAGCAAGGAGGAATTAATTCAAAACATCCCTTTCAAAAATGACAAGCTCCAAATAAAACAGATTAATGTTATATTGAAGAGCATGAAGAAAGCTTCCAGAGTTATTTTAGGAAGAGCCAGTGTGGTGTAGTGGTCTGAATGTTGGACTATGACTCTGGAGACTAGGATTTGATTCCCAGCTCAGCCATGAAATCCACTGGGTGACCTTGGGCAAGTCACATGCTCTCAGCTCAGGGGAAGGCAATGGCAAACGTCCTCTGAACAAATCTTGCCAAGAAAATCTCTTGATAGGTTTACCTTAGGGTTACCATAAGTGAAAAACTTCTTGAAGACACACAACAACAACAACAACAACAACAACTCCACAAGCCAGCAGTGACAAAAGCCTTTATTATTCCTGATGCCTAAGATAGCACAGGTAAAATCAAAGAGCCAGCATAACTGCACAGAATGCTATTTACCTTCCCAATGAAGTGGTACCTATTTATCTACTTGCATTTGCA